CCCAAATTAGTTAGCATAAATCAGTTAAATGACGAAAAATTAGTGTCTATTTACTTGTGACCATTCAGTGTACGCAGCATTGGTGGTATTATTATCCAGACATTTCAGTTTAACTGTTCAAACCTAATTCCATCATGAGTATTTGTAATGTAGATGTGGAAGATCAGTGGGTACGTAATTTTGCGATTAATCGCAACCCTGTGAACTTTGTAATGTTTTAGGAATTTGCATTATACGTTTGACATCCAATTCATCACCTAACAGTTGGATGAGAGTTCGAAAACACAGGACAATACCTTCACGGTGTTCGGGGGGGATTGTACTAAACTTCATGCACAATATTCAGCTTATTAAACCCTCACCACAACCCTGAATGCAAAGCGTTAATTCTCATAGTGCTACTAGAATGAAGAGCAATAAAAAACCGTGACCGAAAGTGATGATTCTTATTTCTCATAGTTTGTTTCAGATTGACAGGTCTGGATTTAGTAGTTGGAGAACGCTTTGAATAAGACTGTGTTATCCCAGTCTCGAAGAGTCATACTGGTGACCATTAGTTGGTATGGACTTGTTTCACTAGCAGTAGTTATGGAACTCATGAATAATGTCGTAATGTGACATTCTGGACAATGTTGCATTGCCTAAGATTATGGAATTTAATGTAAAAGAACCAGCAGATTAATGCACAATGCCACATCGTATTTCGTGTGGCAGTGGCTTTCAGGCAAATAATATCTCTTTACCAACTTATAGCTTCAACCTAATTCCAAATTAACTTCCTTAGGACGCTTGGAAAGTCACCTAAGAGACAAATGAAATTCTTTCCCAAATTTCACTACGCTATGTGTTGCTTTACAAGAATGATTGTCAGTCTACTCGAAAAGTTTACCAAAGCCTTGTTGCAAGCGTTAGCAATAGAGACTAGGCTGTGATTATAACACCACGGGCTGGCCTTTTACTTACAAAATATGCGCTCTTCCATTACTTTTGGTAATGTTTTATAATTTGCTAAAGACAAATTTAGAAAATAAACTTAGTAGTTACATTTTATTACCTCTGATATTTGTAATATCTGTAATTTTTCACTGAATTGGTAGAATGTAATTAATTCTATCATTTTAGTGTATTTCGTATCTTCAATATAAGTGCATCAACCATATGTAATGTTATATATTAATAAATGGCCTAAATCATGAACTTATCCCAGAAAATTATATATTCTGTTCATATCAGTTTCACAAACTCCATGGCCAGGTGGTTAGGGAGCTCGACTCGCAATCTGCGGGTCGCGGGTTCGAATCCCCGTCACACCAAACGTGCTCGCCCTTTCAGCCGATCAATCCCACTATTCGTTGGTAAAGGAGTAGCCCAAGAATTGGCGGTGGGTGGTGATAACTAGCTGCCTTCCCTCTAGTCTTAAACTGCCAAATTGGGGACGGCTAGCGCAGACAGCCCTCTTGTAGCTTTGCGCAAAATTAAAAACAAACAAACACAAACTAAAGTTGAAAGAAGTAAGAGTGTGTCTACAAGACGTTCTTTAATGCCAGACTCTAGTTTGTAAGAAATTAAAATTGTTAAAGGTTTGTAGTTCATCACAATTTATAACTTACAAAAAAAGTATCAAGATATATATAATGTATAACCAAACTGCAGATCTTTTTTAATCTATGACTGTATATATTACGTTATCCCAAATGTTGACTTCTCACAAAACGATTATTTAAGAGATACACTTAAATTGCAGACGTTCTCCGTTGTTCCACATTGGATGATTGCAGTAAAAGTAGTAAACCAAGTTGCAGACGATATACTGTGTGCGATTCTACTTATAAGGTGTACACAAATCAATCTCTAATTATGTCGAAAGAAAGAACAACTTATGAAGACAACACTCAACTCAGCAAATATCTCCTTCTTTCTCTTCTTCTCCACGTCTTCTCGCATCTCTTTCCTCAGCTTGTGAATTCGTCACTAGGAAAATTAACTGGTAAGACCTTCACTCACGTAAGCCTTTAATTCATAAAAGCCCAGGCCACTTAATTATAATTATGCAGTGAGGTAAAGAGAAACAGAAGTTTCTGACCGCCCCTGGTTATATTTCATTCCCCTTCGGGGAATGAAATGCACTTTTAACCTAAATTCCTACCATGCCATCAGATCAGATCTCTATTTATGTCTGCGTAGCCTTATGGATAAGGCGTCTGACTTCGAATCAGAAGATTGCGGGTTTAAATCCTGTCGCGGACGAATTAAACATGTTTTTAACATTTTCTTTCCCCTGGTTCCTTTCATCCCAATGAAGACAGAGATCTTTCTATAACAGTGTTGTATGGTAAATTGTTTATTTACTTTCTAATTTATTTATTAAACGATTTAAATTTTTCATTGGACGTTAGTTAACCTGTGGACTTTAAAACGCGTGTAACAAGCACAAAACATACACCATCAAGATCAAAGGTTGGTGCACACTACTGTTTACTTTATAACACACCATATGTTGAGTTGCTTATTTATTTGAGAGTATAGCGAGACAAAAAGATAATACCAGTGGCTTACACCCAAAATTCATGTATCTGTTAACTATTTTACCGCTATCGTAGCGTTCTATAAGACATAAATACAAACAGAGTGCAAAAAAAAAGGTTCCTCGGTATCTACTCTGTTAATAAAGAAAATCTAACGTTTCTTTCATCCGTAGCTGAGTTTTATTAGATAATGTTATAATTATGGGTTATAAGAAAGTTATAAGTGCATTTAACAGTAAGAGTAGTATATATAATACAAAATAAATAACATTAAGTTACATGTAGAATGGTTTGTAGAAGCAAAGAGCTTCTACATGGTAGGGTACGATATTCTGTTACGACAACGTTCGTTTAATATAGTTATACCAGAGCACTTTTTTTTTTTTTCTATGGACCTCTTAAGGCAGTGTAACGCGTTATACAAGAATGCTCTTCTAAAAATGTTTTATTCAAGCTGCTATTTTAACCTCAATCTTCAAATAAACAACTTAAAAATTTATCAGATTGCAGAAGGAAGTCTTTGGAAGCATCAGAACAAATATTCAAAAAAGACACGATATTTTACAATAAACCAGAATTTTCTTCATACCGAATCTGATATGTGGAACTTGTTCTGGATAAATGATTTTCACTATAAATATGGATTTTTTTAAAATTAATTTTAAAACCTCCTCAGTTGCATTTTATTTGATTAATTTAGTCATCAACGTTATTGCCTTCAGAATCAGTTCCAGATAGTATTCTTACTAACGTTTAATTTTTTTTTGAAACTCAAAATTCGTCCTCCCAATACCTGTAAATACTTATTGGGTACTTTTTTTACATAAACTAAATACTGCAATAAACAATGCACGATGTAATACAACACTATTTTCTGCCACCAAAGGTAAAGTGATAGAGAAAAAAATGCTTCTAGATAAAGATAAGTTATAGCTAAGAGCGTCATTCTATAGAGTCTTTGAGGAGACTGAAAGCCAATTCAGTATCTAGCAGATTATTAGATAAACTTAGACGCGAGACACATCTGCAAGTTTACTGGAACTTGCAGTTGTTTTTAACTCGCCGAAATGGGTCGATTGAACCATTTACCTGTCTTATCTCCTGCTACATTGGTTCTATATGCTTTCAGACAGAAACAGATAATTTGATAATATAAAATATACACATTAAAAGGAAGGAACAGAGACACTGTTGTTAAATTTTATTATTGTTATTATTATTACAAATGATAGTACCATAGAGACCACGCTATAATGAACACCAAAGGCACTTTGTTAGAGTTGAACAAAGTTCTGTTGGTTTTTTGTAGTATCTTGGAGACGTTCACTAACTGCATGTAACAAGATTGGAAGGTAAAAACTAGAAATGATTCGCCTTCCCGCTATTCTACTTTTTCATTGAATTAGTTTAATGATATAATTGATTCTATCATTTAAATATGCTTAATGTCTCTAATATGTGTGTGCACCAGCTGTAATATATGTTCTCAAATGTGAAGCTGTTCCAGAAAATTATCTATACTGTTTATATCACTTTCCATATAACAAACAATAATATGTAATAGTATATTTAAAGTTTATCAAACTGTAGTTGAAAGTAGTGTTCCTGTGGCTTTAAGATGTTCTTCTATGTTTAGGTATATTTCACAACACATCAAACTGCGAACGTTTTCAGTGGATCATTAAGATTAAAGCACAATAAATCTATAAACGCACGGCTCGGCATGGCCAGGTGGTTAGGGTACTCGACTCGCAATCTAAGTGTCGCGGGTTCGAATCCCCATCCCACCATACATGCTCCCCCTTTCAGCCGTTGGGGCGTTATAATGCGACGGTCAATCCCACTATTCGTTGGTAAAAGAGTAGCCCAAAAGTTGACGGTGGGTGGTGATGAGTAGCTGCCTTCCCTCTAGTCTTACATTGCTAAATTAGAGACGGCTAGAGCAGATAGCTCTCGTGTAGCTTTGCGCGAAATTTATAATAAACTAAACTATAAACGCTCACTAATTTATGGCTAATTATATAGCTAAAAAATATCAAAGTTGTAGAACTTTTCCAGTTTATGACTGTATATATTATGTTCTTCAATATACAGTATTACTGTCCTGAACAGAAAAGCCAAACTTTAGCTCTTTTATAATCTGTGAATGTGCATAATCCTAAATGTATTACAACGCTAGAATCCGGGTTTCGATACCCGTGGTGGGCAGAGCACAGATAGCCTATTGTGTAGCTTTGTGCTTAACTTCAAAAACAAAAAAGAACAACAACAACCTAAATGTATTATTGTATTGATACAATAACCAAAGGTTTCCTTGGCATATTTATTTGATAGTTAAGTAATAAACAGTGAGTATAAATTACGTCCGTGCAGCCTAATGGATAAGGCGTCTGACTTCAGATCAGAAGATTATAGGTTTGAGTCTGTTTTTAAACAATTAATTGAAATCCTACAGTTTCTACAGTTGCTTTATTATAAAGATAAAAATATTCTTTCTACTATATTTTCAGATAACACCTCGTTCTTTATTGAGTCCACACATTACAAAAGTAGGATCTTGTAAATTTCAGTTATTACATTTTCATTTTTATGTTTCTTTATGACCTTAAGGTCAATGGTGATACTCCTATTTACTCTAGAAAACACCAGTTTTGATACTGTTTTCGCTTCCAGAGACTTGCGAGACAAGAATAAAATCTTAGCGGTTTCGACCTAAAGTTAAAGTGCCTGATATATTTATTACAGCTATCATTGCCTTTTCTGAATAAAAATCAGGAATAGATCGCAGAAAAAAGTTCTTAAGCCCTAAGGTTTCCTTCTGCAGGAAACGAATAATCTCTGTTATTTAAGTTTCGTTAGATAATGTAATATTTATAGGTTATAAGACAAAACACCCAAACTTGAAAAGACAGAGTGGTTTATGTAATATAAAATAAATAACATTAAATTTTGGGAAGTTTTAGAAAGACGAAACTTCTGCATGGGAGGTGTGTCATATACTGTTTCAACAAGATTCTTTTAATGAAGTTATTATGGGGAAAATCTGTGTTTCCCATTCTAAGATATTTATTGTATTCATCCAATGGCAAATATTTAGGCCTTTTCCAGTCTATAACTGTATATATATTGGGTCAACTGAGTTGTATCTGTAAGGATACTCATTTAGTAGTGACTTTCAAAAAGACCATTCTACTTAAAATATAATCAAACTGAAGATTTTCTCCTAATGTGAAACTCACCAAACTCAGAGGTACAATTTAGGTAGGTCAAGGGGAGAGGCATTAATGTTTAGTTTGCTTTATTTAAATAGCTGTTAAATAATACAGGAAATAATAAGAAAAAATGCTCCCAAAATAGACTGATTTTTATATTCTAATATTAAAAAAATGAAGATCTTTCCGGAGAATGTCTTCCCTGGACCTTCAGCAAAAGTCGATTCTCCCCCCCCCTCTTCTGCCATTGAAACTTGAAATCACTCCTGACCAAACTGGGTGCGTTCTTCATGGTATAGCAGTGTCTATTTGAAATTAAAATTGTAGACGTTCTTCATTGGATGATTGTAGTAAAAGTAGACAAATCTGTAGACTTTATATTGTGCATCATTTACACTTATTAGTTGCAAAAAACGTTTTTAATAGTTCATTCATTTTATATGTTAAATTATTAAACAGAAGTTATGTATTATGTACACGTAGACTAATGACTAAGGTGTCTTATTTCAAATTAAGATATTATAGGTTTGAGCCTTTAGCAGAAGAATGTTAAGGTTTCATATTTTTGAGCAATTAATTGAAATTATTTTCCTCCTGAGTTTCTATGATTGTTTGGAGGGATATTTTAAGGGAATTGTATTTCTCTTTCAATCCACTCATCAGTAAATTGGAATTATGTAAATTATTATTATTATAATTCGTTTCTTTGTTTATCACCTCAAGATCTGATGTGATCGTTCCTTTTACACTATAAAATATCAGTTTTGTTGTTGTATTAAGAGATTAGCGAGACAAGTCAAAAATATCAGCAGTGTCAATCCAAAATTCAAGTGTTTGTTATCTTCATTACAGCTATCATAGCCTTCTCTGAGCCACAATCACGAACAGACTACAGAAAAAGAAAGTTCCTAGGTATGTGCTCGGTTAAAAAAAAAAAGCTAAGCCTTCTTTTAGCCGAATAAGCTTTGTTAGTTGAGTTTCATTAGATAACATAGTAATTAAAGGTTATAAGTCTATTAGTTCAGTTTCATTAGATAACGTAATAACATAGGCCTGCCAATTTATAGTTCATAAAAGTTGTTTTGGCTTTAATAACGGATTTTACATAATTCAGCTACGCAGATTTCAAAAATAGCATTAATTTTTTTCTATCACGTAAGGAAGAAAAAAACCCTTATTTCATTTACCACAATGAACATTTATTATTATTATTATTATTATGTTTGTTAACAAAAATACAAATAAACTGAAGAAAAGGGAAGAGCATTGATGTCAAACGAATATGCATCCTCATTCATCCAGATTTTTTTGTGAACTCTAACTCTTTTATTCTCAAACTTACGTGTTGTGGTCTTTCTTTTATGTATTGCATTATGATGTTTTTTGAACAATCTGTACGTGATGGAGAAAAATGGATATCATTTTCGAATTCAGCGTACAGGAATTATAGTAGAACAAGTAAAACTTTCAAGACAATAAAACTATCACAGGTTTGTGTAATTTAAGGTAA